CCCCCCCTTATTCTAATTTAGGGTCCCCACCCACCGCTCAGGGGTGGGGGCGAGAACAATAGGTCCCCCCCTTATTGGTATTTAGGGCCCCCACCCACCGCTCAGGGGTGTGGGCCAAGGGGGAGAACAATAGGTCCCCTCCTTATTCTAATTTAGGGTCCCCACCCGCCGCTCAGGGGTGGGGGCCAGAAGGGAGGACAATAGGTCCACCCGCTTATTCTAATTTAGTGCCCCCAGTACATTTTTATTTATGGCCCCCACCAACGCTCAGGGGTGGGGGCGAGAACAATAGGTCCCCCCCTTATTGGTATTTAGGGCCCCCACCCACCGCTCATGGGTGTGGGCCAGAGGGGAGAACAATAGGTCCCCCCTTATTCTAATTTAGGGTCCCCACCCACCGCTCAGGGGTGGGGGCCAGGGGAGAACAATAGGTCCCTCCCTATTCTAATTTAGGACCCCCACCCACCGCTCAGGGGTGGGAGTCAGGGGGAGGACAATAGGTCCCCGTCTTATTCTAATTTAGGGCCCCCACCCACCGCTCATGGGTGGAGGCCGGGGGAGAACAATAGGTCCCTCCCATTATTTTACTTTAGGGCCCCAATCCGCCGCTCAGGGGTGGGGGATGGGGGGGGGAGGACAATAGATCCCCCCATTATTTTACTTTAGGGCCCCCACCCGCCACTCAGGGGTGGGGGCCAGAGGGGGAATAGGTCCCCCCTTTAGTTTAAAAGCCCCCCACTCGTGCAGCATGGGTGGCGGCTCGGGAGCGGGGGCCTGTTTTTTGTTTTGTTTTTTGGCGGTGAGCAGCCATAGGTTGCTCATTGTTTAATAGACATGCCCCTTCTCGCAGTATAGCGAGTAGGGGCAGATTATTTACTAATAGTAAGTCATTTTTACTTAGTATTAGTAAATTTGGGAATTAGGGAGTTATCTACTAAGCGGCTGCAAGAGAAGTGCTGAAGTACCGAAATTCCAAAATGCCGAAGTTACGAAATTCCGAAGTGTCGAAGTACCGAACCAAACCGAAGTGCCGAAGTCCCGAAGCCCTGAATTTCGGAATGCCGAACCGAATATTTTCCCCATGCACATCCCTACCATAATTTTGAGGGTTTTTTTGTGGAGCACCCAGATTAAGATGTGTTAATGGGAGTGCTTCTATCTTTTTTTGTCTGTTTATGACAAAAGAAACCTGTATTTGGCACCTCTTTTTTGGAAACTAATGGCATACCAGGTCACACTGCAATTAAAGTTACAATATGCACATATGTAATGGCAAATAGAAAAATTTATATGAGAAAAATACCTTAGCATGTTGTCTTCTTTAAGAAGATATCTACATGGAGTCACCAACTATAGCTGTACTGCAAATGTACTCTATGCAAGCAGGGATGGTCGAAGGATAAAATGCTACCCCCTCCCGCTAATGCAGTATGTATTGAGGATGTAGAATGAGAAAGTGGATGCAGTGTGTGTAGGAAATGTATTTTATGTGCTGGTGAGTCAGTGTGTCTAACTGATGCAGTATATGTGTGAGTGCTTTTGGATATAGTGTGTGTGTGCTAGGAATGTAGTTTGTTTGTGCTTGAATGCAGTATGTCTGTGTGTGCTGGGGATGCAATGCGTGCCTGTGTGTGTGCTGGGGATGCATTATGTGTGTGCTGGGGATGTAGTATGTCTGTGTGCTGGGGATGTACTGTGTCTGCGTGTGCTGTGGATTGGCTTCCTATGAGAGATATTCTGCTCTCCGACCGGAGAGACAGCTGACAGCGCTGGAACGTCAGTGGCGAACGTAAGCATAATCCTGAGTCGCAGACCAGCCTCCCGCTGATTTTTCTAGAATTTATTTGTGGCAGGTCCAGCCCACCCTGGCGGAGGGTCTGAACAAGAGCTTTCCTCGACTGCTGTTTCCCTTAACTGGTTAGCAACATGCTGGATGATGACAGCGGTGGAAAAATGCCGCCCCATGTCAAAGTGCCTACAATGGTAGAAGAGAGGACTAGCAGGCTGGACATGTTTTGTGACATCCGCTTTCTCAAAAGCCCTTGAGGAAGTGCTTGGCACAAAACATATCAAACCGGTTAGTCCTCCTTACTACCATTGTATAGGGATTTAGGCAAGTTTTCTTTTTTTGGATTTGATAGATTGCACTTTTGATTTATTGTAACTTGATTTTGATACTTGCATGGAGTTTTCTCTTTGGGTCAATCCAAGAGTAAATTCGCAGTCTGGTTACAGTTGTAGTTAGTACATACAGTATCACACAAACGTGAGTACACCCCTCACATTTTTGTAAATATTTTATTATATCTTTTCATGTGACAACACTGAAGAAATGACACTCTGCTACAATGTTTAGGGTTAGGATAGGGCCGCAGGGCAGTATTCCAACATGATCACGACCCCAAACATACCTCCAAGACGACCACTGCCTTGCTAAATAAGCTGAAGGTAAAGGTGATGGACTTGCCTACCATGTCTCCAAACTTAAACTCTATTGAGCATCCGTGGGACATGCTCAAACTGAAGGCGGGGAAGCGCAAGGTCTCTAATAGCCACCATCTCCGTGATGTCATCATGGAGGAGTGGAAGAGGACTCCAGTGGCAACCTGTGAAGCTCTGGTGAACTCCATGCCCATGAGGGTTAAGGCAGTGCTGGGAAATAATGGTGGCCACACAAAATATTGACACGTTGGGCCAAATTTGGACATTTCTACTTAGGGGTGTACTCCCTTTTGTTGCCAACGGTCTAGACAAGAAATGGCTTTGTGTTGAGTTATTTTGAGGGGACAGCAAATTTACACTGTTATACAGGCTGTGCATTTACTACTTTACATTGTAGCAGAGTGTCATTTCTTCAGTGTTGTCACATGAAAAGATATAATAAAATATTTACAAAAATGTGAGGGGTGTAATCACTTTTGTGAGATACTGTATGTGGCATATATTTTCAAAGTAAATAATGCAGATTAAGTAACATTTTGTGTATACAATAATTGTGTGTATTAAAACAGCACAAAAATGTATTAACATGTTTGATTTGCTTAGCTGTGAGCATTGATCTGTGCTAATAATTATTTGTTATGTCAGATTGCAGATCTGAGATCTGAGTTTTATAGAACAAAAAACTAAAAACAAACAAGTACATAGAAAAATATTTAACAGAAAAGACGTGATAAACCAGCTGTAACAGCAATGACAGGCTTGCACATAAATATCTATACCTGTACTATTACAGGTACAAAGTAGAATTGCGGAAATCAGTGTTTTGAAGTCCTTGGGCTGACAGGTGATTGCATATTTAAGAACTATTAAATATCCTTTATGCTACAGAAAATTTTAATATTTGAGGGGGATATTTGGTTATCTGTGAATTACCCATATATTTTTTTAAAAAGCATGATTAAGCACTGAAAAAAAAAATAAATTATTTTTTATTGACAATCTTTATTTATACATTTTCAGTTTAATACAGAAAAAGTGAGTCTCGACAAACATAGGAAAGTAACAGAAACACAATGTGTTAGTAGTAGCAAAATCATTTCCCAGTAGTATGGCGATAAGAAACAAACTCACAATCCAAATGTAAAGTAGCACAATGGGAAAGTAACTGGAGATGTGATTTAAACTTTGTGTTCCCATTAAAAGGAATGGACAAGACTACATAATTCTTAAAAGTAACAAATAAAAAAAAGGGGGAGGAAAGGGAGGGGTAAGTGGATAGGTGAAAAGGGCCATGAGAAGCATGATCAACAATTCCGAAACAAATGCTATGGGTTGGTTTCAAAATCGCTGTCATTAGGTATGGGCCAACAGAGCAGCATCATCCAACTCCAACAGGTTAGCAAACATGTTTTCCAAGTTTTTAAATGTTTCTCTATTCTATTCTATTGGGGGTATAAGTTTGCAATCCAGAGTGCAGAGATCAGGGACTTGGCGGCAGTTAGCTGATGTTTTGAAAGTGATTCACTGTATCTGAAAATGGGAAATTTCATGTGATTCAGAAGCAAATCAGCTGGGTGAAGAACACCCCATCACCTGTAATTAAAGTTATTACATCATGGGTCTTTTTCTAGAAGGGAGCTATGATAGAACATTCCCACCATAACCACACACATAACCTCCAGCAAATGGGTGATTTTTTAGGAGAGACTCTATGATGCTTAAAAGAGGTGTTGTACCAATTTGTGAGGATTTTTTTATTTGATTTCTTTATATTTAGAGCACATAGAGCCCTGATGTGACAATATTCAAATATTTGACTATTGTTTGTCTCTAAAAATCATATGTAAAGCATATTTCCAATAGGAAGAAAACCTGAGTTGAGCTACTGTAGTTCCATATAAAAGTATCTAATAAAGAGTAAACCAGCACAATAACAAATCTCCTTAAAAGATATCAGTGACCTACGAAGTAAAGCGCAGGCATGGCAGGAATTGTAAACATGTGTAAGTTGGTGGTATCTGAAACATTCTACAATAGTGGGTTGCCCAGCAACCACCAAGTCTGTCAGCGATTGTATATCCCCACGGTTACTAATGCTCCTTATGAAACTACTAGGGCCTTTTTCCCAAAAAAGCAGAAGGTATGCTGGTCAAGTCCTGCTGGGAATGTGTGATTATTTGAGACTGGAGACATCAGGCCACGCAGTGTTGACAAGGATAATTGCCTGCGAAGCATGTACCAAATTGACATAGATGTCCCAATAAAGGTGTGGTAATGAATCTGTTGAGGAAATTCCTCAGCATCTAGCCAGCATGGCTCTGGGATTCTTCTGTCAGCTATATTTAACTTCTAGCAATGGTCAATGTTTGAGGGAGTGTATCTTATGCCATTCCACTATATTAGCATAATGGACAGCCTGGTAAAACCCACGGAAATACTGGAGACACAGACAAACAAGCAACTTGGGTAGCATTAAGCAAAGAAAAACACACACATCTCAGCAGAGCAGAATTTAATAAGTAGAAGTAAGTTTTGAGCAACTGAACAGTAATAGTGTGAAAAAGGTATAATAACCAAGAAATTAATTTTTATGTCACTTTGGAATCTATTGAGTATGGAGACAAAATTAAGTTAGTAAAGTATAGTAAGATCACAGGGCACCACAACTCCCAAATATGTCAGATTATCAGAGCACCACTTAAAGGAAATTTCTGCTGCAGAAAGGTCATTAAAGCAACCGGTGAGGTCACACTAAGAACATCAGATTTATCCATACTAAGATTAAAGTTGCTAAACTTGCAGTAATTCCAAAATTTCACAATAATATTCACGAGGAATATGCAGGTTTGTTAAAAAAAAATAAAAGGCTGTCAGCATAAGCTGATACTTTATGTTCGACATTAACCTAGTGGAAGCCATCCACAGACTGATTTGCTGAATCACCAACAAGAGCAACTTCAGTTTCAGCAGATTTAGCACAGAGGCAAAAAGGACATTCTTACCAAGTGTCGTTTTTGATGTCTACTTGATTATTGGAAGCCCCATTAACCCAAATTCCAGCTGATGGTCATGTGAATATAATTTCCCTATTAACCCCATGTTAGGGGCATACATAACATTTGTTCGAACAGCTTGGGGAATCTCTTTTTGTTTAAATTTCTTTTCCCACAGTCATCATTTTTCAGTTGTTTTACAAAATATGCCCCATGCAGTGAATGACCTATATTGGCCATGCAGTCCTGTAATAGGTGATGCCAGAGGAGGGTTTAGCATACCTTACCACAATTGATTCCAACATTACACTAATCAGCCACAACATTAAAACCACTGACAGGTAAAGTTAATAACACTGACTCTATCATAACAATTGCATCTGTCAAAGGGTGGGCTATATTAGGAAGCAAGTTAACAGTCAGTTCTTGAATTTAATTTGTTGGAATCAGGGGCAAAATTGTCAAGCAAAAAGATTTGAGTAACTTCTAAAAGGGCCAAATAGTAATGGCATCTCCAAAATGGCAAGTCTTGGGTGGTGTTCCTGAAATGCAGTGATTAGTACCTACCAATAGTAAAGCAAGGAAGGACAGCCAATGAACTGGTGTCAGAGTTATGGCTGGCCAAGACTCATCGATGCATGTGGGGAGCAAATGCTGGCCCATCTGCTTCAATCACACAGAAGAGATACTATAGCTCAAATTTTTGAAAATAACTTTCTGATGGCCATGATAGAAAGGTGTCAGAACACAGAGTGCATCCTAGTTTGCTGCATATGGGGCTGTGTAGTTGCAGACAGGTCAGATCTTATGACCCCTGTCCACTGCTGAGAGCACCTTCAATGGGGACATGAGCTTCAGAACTGGACCATGAAGTAGTGGAAGAAGAGCCTGGTCTGATGAATCACACTTTCTTTTAGATCAGGTGGATGGCTGTGTGCGTGTTGGGAGTTTACCTGGGGAAAAGATGGAAGCGTTATGCACTATGGGAAGATGGCAAGCCAACAGAGGCAGTATTATATTCTGGGCAATGTTCTGCTGTGAAGTATCCTGGCATTCATGTGGATGTTACTTTGACACGTACCACCTACCTAGAGACTGTTGCAGATCATGTACACCCTTTCAAGGCAATGGTTTTCCCTGATGACAGTGGCCATTTCAAGCAGGATAATGCACCCTGCCACACTGCAAAAATTGTTCAGGAACATGCCAAAGAGTTCAAGGTGTTGCCTTGGCCTCCAAATTCCCCAAATCTGAATCTGATGGAGCATCAGTGGGATGTTCTGTAACAACAAATCTGATCCATGGAGGCCAACCTTGCAACATACAGAACTTGCTACGTACACATGCTACGTGTCAGAGGAGGTGTGATCATGAAGAATGAGTGGACTTTGCATCTTTATATGCAAACCACTCACTAAGACTTTTAAAACTACCTACCTCTGATCAGGATGATCATGAGTTCATGGAGGAGTGGAATAATAAATTGGAAATATGCACTTTCGGATTAATGGAAACACTAATAGTTAAAAAAAGCAAAAAATTGTCCATTTTAGACATTGAAATAAATGACCTTAGAGAGAAGCTCTTACCATTTACAGAAACTAAGGCCTATAAACAAAATTCTGTATTAATACAAAACAAAATAGAAAAAGTTGAAGTTGATACAAAACATCTGAAAATCAGAAAATATATTAGAGATAAAACTGACTATTCAAACAAACAAGTGAGAACTTACCATCTTAAAAAAAGTACACTTCAGACAATTATCCCTCTAGACCAAATTATCAAAATCTTAATTATACACACAACAATTCCCATTCTTACACTAATATGGCATACCAACCATCTTCCAAATACCAGAATTATATCACACGGAAGTCCCATCATCAATCCCCATCTACAATGAGACCCAAAAATACTTTCTCTCACCAGCACTACGTCCCTTCTAAATTACCTTATCAAGGTACCACCAACACATACCAATTACCCCCACATAAACTAAGGAAATTTCCTCACCACAACTCTAATCCTGTACCTCAATCCCCTAGATACTACAACTCTTCTGGTTTAAACTTTTCACCCAAACCACAAAGATCAAGGTATACAAATGATCAAAATGAGTATTCTTACTACTCAAAATCACCCACTATTCCCAATCACCCTAATAGGTACCAACTTTTATCAGTCGATTCAGACTTTGATAATGAGGACCATTTTTTAGAAATACGCACTCACCAGCCCCCACTAGCCCAGACACCGCACCCCTCACGTTCCCAGAAAATAATTTTAAGCTTAGAGGAAGACGAAGTGGAAGACGGGAACAAAAGAGAAAGATTGGAAAGACAATAACACCCTACACTAAATCCTGCAATGGTATTTTTAATCTCTCCCAGAAAGTTTTATCACCTGCACAATTGTCTGTTTTAAGTAAAGGTCTAAAATTTGCCCCTACCTCTTCTTTTAACTCATTTCAAGCTTTTCTTGATGTTAACAAATTTGTTAGAAAAGCTACACTAAAAAGATTTTTTATAAGCAAGAATGATGAAGAATCTATTCCATCTACTTCTCCAAAGATAGACAATAGCTCTTTTATTAATACTAACCTCAGGCCAAAATCTAAGTTTTACCCATCTCATTTTAAATCCGTTCCTCTTACTCTTTTTGAGAAATTAGTTCAAAAAGATTTAGATAAAATAAAATATAAAAAATATGATGCTCAAAACCTTACAAATGCCGAAAGACAAGCAATCAAAGAACTTCAAAAGGATAAAGATATTGTCATCAAACAGGCCGATAAAGGCGGTGGAGTAGTTATCCAGTCTAGTAATATGTACACAGACAATTAAAAGACAGAAATGTATATGAACAACTCTTATCGGATCCTACTGAAAATATAAAAATTATTTTATCCACTTTTTTAAATAAAGGTCTTAATTTAAATATTTTAAACAAACATGAATTTAATTTTTTAAACAAAGAATTTCCTATTACCCCTGTTATTTATTTCCTTCCCAAAATCCACAAAAACGAACAACATCCTCCAGGTAGACCAATCGTGTCTGGGATAGGTTCACTTTTATGTAACCTTTCCCAATATATTGATACCCTTCTTCAGCCTTCGGTCAAACTTATGAAATCCTATCTAAAAGACTCCATGTCACTTTTAAAATGTTTAAGTGATTTTACTTGGAAAACAAATTTTATATTAGTTACATGTGACGTTCAGTCTCTTTATACTATTATTCCTCATGACATAGGCTGTTCAAATCGATTTTAAAATAGAAGGTATAAATATTATTTTTAAAAATAATTATTTTTGGTTTTTAGACTCATTTTATTTGCAAAAGAGAGGTACAACTATGGGGACTAGGTTTGCCCCCAGTTATGCCAAGTTGTTTATGGCCGACTGGGAAACCGAAGCTATTTGGGGTAACCACTCGTGGAGGGCAAACCTAGTCTCCTACTTCAGATATATAGATGACCTCTTTTTTATATGGGATGGACCAGAAAACCATCTTATTGATTTTATAAACTATCTAAACATCAACAATAGGGGTATCATCCTTACATATGAATATAGTAAGGAGTCTATTAATTTTTTAGATCTTAACATTTTTATCAACAAGGGACAACTTCAAACAAAAACTTTTTTTAAACAAGTATGTGTAAATACGGCTATAGACAAATCCAGCTGCCATTATAAACCTTGGCTTGAGAGTGCTCCAAAAAGTCAATTATTGCGTCTTCGCAGAAACTGTTCAGAACTTACAGATTTTAACGAACAAGCAGAGGTTTTAAAAAATAAATTTATGGAGAAAAAATATCAAGAATCTGATCTAAATGCCACAATTAGTATAGTAAAGCAGAAAGAACGAAATGAACTTCTAAAGTATAAAAATAAAGAAAATAATGAACTAATATCACTTCCAGTTATTTTTAATTTTAATAATAAAAGTAATGATGTTAAAAAAATAATAAAAAAACATTGGCATATACTCAAACATGATGAGATACTTAACCCTATCATACCCATTCATCCTAATATTGTTTTTAGAGGAGCACCTAATTTTAAGTCCATTTTAACCAAAAATTTTACTAAAAAATCTCCTTCCAAAAATTTATCTTTCTTTCCTCAGACGAAAGGTTTTTATAGATGTAAACAATGCATTGTATGTAAAACTACTGATCATTCTATTCCATCTAAAATTACAAATTTTATGTCAAATAGGACCAAAAAAGTGTACAATATAAATGATTTTATATGTTGCAATACAAAAAATGTTATTTATCTGCTCGAGTGCCCATGTGGCCTCCAATATGTGGGGATGACCACAAGGAGCTTAAAGATAAGACTGAGCGAACATTGCAGAAATATCAAAAATGGATACCTGAATCATACAGTATCCAAACATTTTATTATGCATAACAGAGATCCACGTCTATTAAAATGTATTGGTATAACCAAATGCTCTACCTCTTGGCGTGGAGGTGAAACAAAAAAGATGCTTGGAAAAACAGAGATGGAATGGGTGTATAAACTTCAGACTCTTATACCCCATGGTCTTAATGCAGATTTTGATTTACATAATTTTTTATAATCTTTTATAATTTTGCTGCCTGTACCTTTAAAAAATTATGCTTTTATTGTTATTCATGGACAATGTATCTTTTATTCAGGTATTCTTATCATTGTTTTATTTTTACTTTTTATGGTTATAAGTTCCCCCTTTTAAGCCTTTGTCATGTATTTATAATTGTATATTGTCTTTTCCTAGTATATCTATTCTAAGTACATTTATCTGCAGTACTTGTCCCCATTATTGTTGGCTAAACTACATTTCCCTATATGCACTGTGGCTATATCTTCCGATTTGCGGAAGTGCCGAATACCATGTGACCTATTTAGATCTGTTTCTAAGTTCATTTCTCCTCTTCGTTTTTAATTTTCAACTCTATCTATCACCTTGTACAGGCTATAACTATGCAATCTTTTGCTTATTTTAATGTTACATGTGGCCGCTTTTCGCGGCCATTTTGACTACATTTCCCATGTGGCATTGCGTTCTACTTCCGAAATGCGGAAATGCTGTTTGGACATGTGATTTTCTATCAATGTTTAAAAACACATTTTATCACCTTCGTTTTTGATTCAAACATATCAACATCATGTTACAGTACTATTATCTATATATTTATTGAATTATTTATGCAATTTAATGTTTTAATTTTGTTTTTATTTTTAATTGGTTGTACCATTTTTGGCGCCAAATTCAAATTAGTTTTATCCCTATAAAATATCTATTAGCCAGGTATCATATGTAAATCCATTTGAAAAAGTCTTTTTTGATGAAACGCGTTATGGATATTTAATATTTGTGTTCTTTTATATATATTAAAGTATTTTTGGTCATCTATTCGTGCCAATCAACTTTTTTAAAGACACATAACCTTTCCTTTTACCCTGGCTTTTTAGTATTATTTTTATTGGTTTTATAAAAACCACTGGAAAATATCCCTGGAAGTTTCCTGTACTAAAAGAAATCCTTAGGTGGGGATCAATCCACCCAAGTTATCATCATAGAGCAGTTGGCCTGCTCTTGCCTTGTAAGTACATTCTTTTATTATTTTATCAACACTACTATACAGTGAGCACTATTAGTTGTCTCTTTTATTCCGAGAATTGGACACCAGCGACGGAGAGGAACCCATTTATATCCCATAAGCGGGGATAAAAACCACTGTATGCGCTTTACTCCAGAGCTGGATATTAGCTCTGGTAAATGTGAGTTTTATATTATTATTCCTTTATAATTACATTTGAATTTTACATACTGCACCATTGGTTGTCCTTCTCTCTTTTTATCTTTCATACCAAGTGGATCCACCACATCAGTAGAAGACCTCACCACCAAAGACTATCTGTAAGGATAAATATTGGGATCTTCTCTCCTTTTTGGACCTTTTATTGGACTTTTTTATTATTTACTGTGGCGCAGCCTTTTTTATTGTTTTTCACTCACTGGTATGGCTGGTAAGCTGCCGCCCAACCCTTTGATGCCACAGCACATGTGTAAAAGATCTATTCCTAATTGGGCAGTATTGGAATGCTCCGCCCACCACTCACATGGGGCAGACGATTTGGCTAAGAATGTGCTCACCTCCAGGCAATGGGACCTTTAAATCTATGAGAAAGGAAATGCATTAGTCATGTGTTGGCCATTTTTCTTGCACTTTTCTCCATATAATAGATAGCACTTCTTTCCCTGTACATAGTTTGTTTTAGGGTTGGTATTTTGCAAGCACAAGCTTACAGTGTGGCGAGGTATCAAGGTTACATTTAGGGCTAGTATTAGACTTTATCAGCAAGTAACTACCTACTGCACAGATGTTGTTACCTTTAAAGTTTATTATAGCACAATATATCTCTACTTTAATTTAAGAATTTCATACTCTTTTTGTAAGGATTTGCTGACTTTCTTTTATGGTTATGTAGGTACATTCTTATGTTATGGTGTCCTGCCATGTACAGTTGGGAAGTAGGTATAATCCCTGCCCTATGGATGTATTGCCTTGCAACACAACCAAGTGCAATTGAGTGAGTGCCTCATGAATCTGATGAAGACAGCACAGACATATAGCGGTAGGGCCTCTTGATAAATCTAGAGAGGGGTACAATACTAAATTAAAATCTCCTCCCTAGATTGAGATCCCTTCAGATAAAGTAGACGTGGCTCTACAGACCTTCATAAGATAAGTATGTTTGCAGCATTAACAGTGTTACATGTGTAAATCAGTGAGTGAATATGCCCCTTCATAAAAAGAAAATTACCTTAATTGGAAGGGAATTATATGTGAAAACATGTTCTCTGCCCTGATTTTTGGAAGTGGCATGGTCAGCAAAAAAGGCTTTACAGGTCCTTCCCTTTTCCCAGTAAGAGACCAACAGTCTCTTTACCTTGAAATAGAATATCAGGGGCTTCTTACTGAGAATCCTCTGAACATCTCCTGCAACGCACTACACTGCGTTCTGATCTGAGTCTGAGAAAGTGGTGTACAGGCACACTCTATATCACTCTATATAATGGAAAGAGTAAGCTCTCTTCTTTAGTGTTTCACCATGTCTTGTACCATTGTGACTGAATTGTTTGTGTAGCCCACAGTTCTCTAAGGAGCCTAGATTTAAGACCACTAGCATTTACAGACCTAGTTTGCAGTGGGCAGGTATATGTGATAACGGCACCATCATGGCTGCGGAATTTAGGAGTAAGGGACAAGGGAAGAAGTTAAAAAGTGAGGGAGATAAGAGAACAAAAAAAGAGAAATAGAAAAAGAGAAAGTTAGGAAACAAGCATAAAGAAGAAATGAATTGTCAACGTCTGAGCGTTTCTGCCCTGGAAACACCTGAACTCCCAGAAATATATTGAACAAGAAGACCCAAGCATATCCCAGGTAAAACCCTTTAAGAGTTCCTTTTCAGCTTCCTTTTTTTCGTACTATATCCCAGGTAAAATTAACATTAAAATGTCGGGAAGAGCATCTTTCACCAGACAAGAAAACCACAAAAAATAGATACCAGATATGATTAGGAGAGCAAGGAGTGATTGAGCACTCATGCTATTGATGCTATCCTAGGAAAATAACGTAGAACCCCTCCAGTATCAAAAGTCATAAGAAGTCAAAAAACATGTTTGACCCCCGAAGTAGCATAGAACTAAACTCAGTCGATGACCTTCAAAACAAAAACGGAGAAAAGCTAATAATAGACTGAGTATGTGCAAAAAAGTAAAAGTGGAAAAAGAGGACAAAATAATGACTACTGGTCTGTACCAAGGCATGTACAAATATATGTAAAGAGATAGACAATTAATTAATGTAAATGCATACAAGTATGCAGCAATTATATTCATGGTAAATATTTTCCCATGGCCCCAATACAAGGCAGAGGCTAATATGTTAGGAAGGTGGGTCTCCAAGAAAACATCAAGTTATACATTGTATTGCTGTGTTATTCAAAAACTGGAATAGACAAAAACAACTCATGCCCACAGATCTATTAGACCCATACCCTCTCCCTCCCCACTTATTACAAACAATACAATGCAGAGACCATACAGTAACAAATAATAAATAACAATTCACTAACAAAATAATAATTAACAAATCTCAAACACAAGCCATATAGCAATAAATGGCCTAACTATCAAGTCACAAAGTTGCCAATTCCAGGCACGCAGAAGCACACTGTAATGGCAACTGAAATGCAGCTTATAAAAAGTTTAAAAATAGTTTATTCTTTATAGAACAAACACATGCAAAAATACATAAATAGATGCAAGCAGCCATTCCCATATCCCAATTAAAGGACCTCACTACCCAAATAAAAAAAAACAAAGAGGTAATCAGGGACAGGCAAGAAAAAAAAAGCCTAAAAGGTTATGAACCCCACTATGTAGCATGCAAAATGCAGTAAAATCTCTGAAGCAGAACCTGAGCCTGACAAAAGCTTGGCAAGACTTACAGTATAAACACCAAGTCTATTAGGATATTCTTGCTTAGCTGATTACTGCATAGGGCCCTCAACAGCCAATTCTCTACTGTTTGGCCTGCAGTGTCACTGCGGAGGTCTAAATGTCATCTCATATCTTTGTCTCCAAGGCGGTTACGTCCACCTTTGTGAACATATAATGACAAAAAAGTACTGTTCTTATACAGGTGATAAACTATTGCACATGATACAGTGAACATTATTTAAGATGCATATTTATTAAGAGAAATGCTGTCAATACACACCGTGAACTTGAATAATGAGGTGGCACGTCACTGTGGGGGTCAACAGGATTACAAAATATAATGCCTATCTTACTCCATACCAAAATAGGTATTCAGTAATTAGCACACAAAAAACGAGATGTGCTAAAATACCTAATTTATATTTCACATGGTTATTTCTCTCTGTCTCTTGCTAATAAGCATTTTTGTTTGATTGTGTACTATACAGACAGTTCCAGCAGAGAATTAATGTGCACAATAAACAGCAATAATTAAAAAAAACTTACTATTTCTTTCCCAGACATACTCAATATAATACATGTTATTAGAAAACCAGACATTTTTTCTCAAGAGGAGAAGGAAAAAAGAACATTTCAAACATGATTAATACTTTTCATCCATCAATAGCCAGAGTATTCATCATCGAAGACAAGCCTATATCTTAAGCCTATATCTGTACGAAATGCATGCTATGATTTTAATAGTGTATCAAACAACATATTCTGTTGAAAATAAATAGTTTAAGTTTTTCATAACTCTGGCTTTACTTTGTAACTTTGTTTAGCAAAATACAATGCAAAATAAGCACAGTCGTCAGCTATTCCTTCATATTTTTAGCCCACTGTTTTATTAATCTGGCATATCAACAAGATAAACAATACTGGTGAAGACATTGCTTGCATTTAGTGTATTTCAGTTGATTAATGGTCTTTCTAACGCATACATCAAGAAATTGTTTCATTTCATCTCTTGACAATCAAAAATGTCATTGCTTAATTTAACAGCAATCACAAATCTCTATTCAAACAAGTTCTCTGTTTGCAAAAAGTTCACTGTGTCTTCAAATCCATCTTGAAAAATAGACTCCATTTTGTCATGGCTTGGTGGGAACAATGCTTGATTAAGTCTTTCAAGATTGGCAGTTGATAGCTGTGGGAAAGGTTTATGTAAGAAAAAATGCATTATTTACATGCCTAGACTGTCAAAATACTTTGGCAAAGCAGCATACTAGGTTCCACAATGTTTATTTGGAATTAAAAATGCTACCATTCTCTTTATTCCATTGCACAATAGATAATGCATCAAATTTTGCATACTTCAAAAACTTTTTTCCATTTATATAATAACAGGTTATTAACTTGTACACAGAATCACAAAAAGAATTGTGTGACTTTTTTCTCCTTGCATGGCTCACAGTATAGCAATGAAGCCAGAATGTCAGCATCATGGAGGAGAGAAGTGTCCCCAAGGAGGGCAAATGATAGAAGAGCTAAGAAGGAGCACACGCGGACCAAAGATGGGTGTTAAAGAAGTGTAACACCCACCTCAGTAAGGAGACAGGCGAGGAAAGGGCAAGGTAATGCATAACAGTTTCTCTCTTTAATTAACAAGTGCAATGCGGACGTGATATTTGCCAAACACTATGATATCAGAACCAACATAGTCACCAGAAGGCACAGCAAATGTTTCTGGATGTTTTAGGCTGGCTAACAATGTTCATACATAAAAAACTGATGAATGAACTAAAATCCCCCCAAACCCTTGCTCTGATAAAAACTGGGTTGTGCAAAAGAATGTTGAAATCTGCTAATTATTCCTCTCCCTCTGCCCACTGATAGATTTATAGGGGAGAAAATCACAGGTGCAAATTATATTTGTATGCCAGCTAGTGACTCACATTTTTAAGCTTTACAAATAGAAGTACACCATTGGTTTCTTATCATCACTTTAACCCCTTAAGGACACATGACATGTGTGACATGTCAGGATTCCCTTTTATTCCAGAAGTTTGGTCCTTAAGGGGTTTAAGGGTCATTCCAGACCCCTAAGCAGCTTTAGCTTGCTGAAAAGCTTTATGTGTGTAGAGTTTGTTCTTTTTTTTTCATTTTGTAAAAATGGCAAATTTCAAATTAACCTGGTTACACCCCCTTGGCTTTCAGGCAGACAACAGATAATGTTACTTCCTGGTTTGGTTAGCTCAATGCAGCTGACCTCAAGAGGCAGCAATTGCCAAGAGCGCCTGACTTCCGAAAACTTCTCATTGAGCTGTATTGGGAAGACTGTGATTGGACAGCTACAGAAAGTCTGGGCAGAGCTTGCAAAGATAGCAGACAAGAGAACTGCAGGTTTTGCAAGCAGATTTATATATATTGTGGTTATATGTTAAGCATGTCCAATACTTCAAGCTTCATTGAACAGAATGTGAAGTTTCTATCTGGTCAAACTACATCTTGAATAGAAAAGAACCAGAGGTTGATGATGTATTGTCTAGGGATTGGCACAATAGGCAGAATTTGAAAAGTGGGTAGGGAAAAATAAGTTTTCCTTAAAATGAATGGGAAAAATACAGTTTCTTGGTAGATTTAAAACATTTTAAGTTTTATTAAAATAAAAAAAATAGCTTCAGTATTTTATTATCGATAAACATAAAGGGAAAAGTAAACAATATATCAAAAGAGCTACATATTGCACCCACATTTAACTTACCAGGATATCCTGCTTAGCAACTTTGAGATATAGTTCAACATGCCCTTTATCTTTTGGGCAGATGTCGTTACGGCCACCAAAAGGTGATACTGTTACTGTTCGTCCAACAGGCAGAATTGGAAGACTGTTTGAAAAACCTCCATCAAACCATCTCTGTTCAAGAAACAATTTAGAACTATCTGAAATACTGTTTAAAACATAGGAAAATAAACACTTAGTAGGTGTTAAAAAAACAAAGAATCATGTATTTCATGGATAAAATATTTGTGTCTAACTTACTTACTGTAACCACCGACACATGTATGTGTTTTACGTAAAACCTAAACAACAAATTTCCATGTTTTTCTTGAAAGTCAATGTAACCCATAAATGACAGTTTGATAAGTGTCATATCAGCATTGTATTGTCACAGTGTCTTCAAAACTGCA